GATTTTTTAGTCCAGCTCTGAGATCTTGCAACCTTTGTCCTTTGGCTACAATGCAATAAAAGGAGAGGTCTGTGCTACTGCTTAAGTTTGCAAGCCAACCACAGAAGTATTAATTTGACGCATGGTGCGGTGGGCAGCCTGGGAACTGTAGTTTGCTAAGAGGGCTGGGAATTGCAGCTCTGTGGGGGGTTAGACTTCGGGGTAGTCCCTGGATTCTTTGGGGGAAGTTTAAAAGCAAAACAAAAACCGAGCTTGATTACTTTCCTTTCAAAATGTTGAAAAAGAAAGGATACAATTACTATTACTATTCCCAGTAGAATAATAATAATAATAAATTTTATTTATATCCCGCCCTCCCCAGCCGAAGCCGGGCTCAGAGCAGCTAACAACAGTAAAAATAACACAGTTTACATAAAATCACAATCAATTAATTGAAATACATTCTAAAATCAATTCATTCTAAAATCAATTCAGAATCAAATTAATGGCAACCATTGGGCTAGAGTGCTGTGAGGATTACAGAAGGAGAGAGGGGGTCAGGCTGTGCCTTGGCCAAAGGCCTGGTGGAACAGCTCTGTCTTGCAGGCCCTGCGGAAAGATGTCAAGTCCCGCAGGGCCCTAGTCTCTTGTGATAGAGCGTTCCACCAGATTGGAGCCACAGCCGAAAAAGCCCTGGCTCTGGTTGAGGCCACCCTAACCTCCCTGTGGCCTGGGACCTCCAAGATGTTTTTATTTGAAGACCGTAAGGTCCTCTGTAAAGGGACACGGGTGGCACTATGGGTTAAACCACAGAGCCTAGGACTTGCCGATCAGAAGGTCGGCGGTTTGAATCCCCGCAACGTGGTGAGCTCCTGTTGCTCGGTCCCAGCTCCTGCCAACCTAGCAGTTCGAAAGTATGTAGCGCAAGTAGATCAATAGGTACCGCTCCAGTGGGAAGGTAAACGGCGTTTCCGTGTGCTGCTCTGGTTAGCCAGAAGCGGCTTAGTCATGCTGGGCACATGACCCGGAAGCTGTACACCGGCTACCTTGGCCAATAAAGCGAGATGAGCGCCACAACCCCAGAGTTGGTCACGACTGGACCTAATGGTCAGGGGTCCCTTTACCTTTACCTTTTAGGTCCTCTGTGGGACATACCAGGAGAGGCGGTCCTAGGCCTTATAGGGCTTTAAAGGTTAAAACCAGCACTTTAAACCTGACCCACCTTGGAAGAATGGCAGATGCAAGTAATTGACTACATGGAAATGGCGGAGATGACTGGCAGAATCCGAGACCAGGGAGAAGAGTTGGTGGAAGAAGATAGGATGAAATTTAAAATTTACTTACAGAAATATTGCAAAATGTATGAATGCTGAGGACATTGAAATGAAATGAAGGGGCTCTAGTAACAAGATGATAAAAATTAGAAATTATAAATTTGGAATTTAACATAAGTAAAGATAAAGTAATAGGATATGAATTTGCTGAATTAACTGCGAAAAAGGGATACAAAAAAGGGAGGCGTGAGGAAGTCGGGAAAATAAGTTATTAAAGATAAGAAAATAGAAAAGAGTGATATGTGTTTTATCTGTCTGTGTGTATATTGATTTTATTTTTCCTTTTCTTTGTTAGGTTAAATGTTTGTAGTTTTGTATTGTGTATTTTGTATTGTATTGTGAAATTCTTTATGTTTTATATCTTTTCTGTGTTTATTGTTTCTTTATCTTTTTTGTGGTTGTTTTTTATTGTTAAACTTAATAAAATATCATTTTTTTAAAAAAAAACAAAAACCAGCACTTTAAACCTGATCCTGTCTCCACCAGGAGCCAGTGCGGAAGGAGCGGTGCTGGCTGTGGCAGTTCCCCGCTTGGCCCAGCAGATGGAAGCAAACTCACGGGAGATGCTGCCTCCGCTGGGGAAGGTGATCTTGGACTGGGGCATCACCCCAGCGCGGCGCCCTCCAGGCCCAGCCTGACGGACGCGGGTCGCGGAGGGGCAGTGGGCTGCCCTCCTGCCGCCATCCAAGCTGCACAAAAAGCAGCCGCGGGAGTGCCCTGCTGCGCCCAGCCAAGGCGGGCTTTCTGCACGAGCCCCGGAGCTATTCAATCAGACGCTGCAGGCGAGACCAGGGCTCTGGCCAGGTGCGGAGCGGGGAGCTAAGTCCAGGCGGAGTTGGGGCTGTCAAAGTAGCGCGAGCAAAGAGGGGCCGGGGGGGGGGGGAGTCCCTGTGGCCCCTGCGCCCCCTGGTCGCCCCCGCGCCCCTCCCGGCAGGAGTGGCTTCAGAGGCTGCTGCCTGGCCAGCAACCTGCCAGCAGAGAGGAGCCTTCCCTTCTGTGCGCTTCTGGGGTGGCCCTGAGCTCAGCCAGCAGGCCCAGTGGTCGGAGGTGCTATGCGGGGTGGGGGCCGTCCGCTCAGGGTCTCCCTCCCCGGACATCAAGTTGGGAGGCTGGTCCCACGCACGTTTGTTGTCACTGGATTCAAGAAAGCTTAGCAGGTGACTCTTGCGCGGATCATGAAACTGCATCTAGAATGGATTTATGGACACACTGAGAAAGAGACACACGCAGACAGACAGAGATCTAAAGCATCGGCCGCATCCGGAGCCCCCCCCCCATCGCGGGTCCCCAGGGCTGCCTTCGAGGATCGCAACGGGGCTTGCTTCTTGGGGACCCGCAGAGCGAGGGGGGGCATGTGGCCACCCAGGGCACGCGCATGGCCAGGGGTCTGGGGGGTGACGAGCGCCGGGGTCCAGCAGCCCCTGAAACAGACAGAGCTGTTCAGGGCCGCCCTTCCAAGTCCGGTCGATTTCAAGTCCTAATTCTCTCCCCTCGAACTTCGCGGGACCGACGAACTCTTCCCTTGGGCCGGAGGATCCGGCGGGGGTGCTGCTTCCCTCTGGATCGTGGCCCAAATGCCGAGCGCTGTGTTTGCCCCTGCCCCGCTTTGCCGCCCGAGCAGAGGAGGCAAAAGGGCTTCTCCCCGGGAACGGCTCTCCGGCATTTCATACCGAGCCTATTCCTTGCCCGGCCTACTCAGAGGAAGGACTGCAGGCAGGGCCAAACTCGGCCCGCCAGATGTTTTGGGACTACAACTCCCACCATCCCTAGCTAACAGGACCAGTGGTCAGGGATGATGGGAATTGTAGTCCCAAAACATCTGGAGGGCCAAGTTTGGCCATGCCTGACTCAATCCTCCCTCGCTGCCCGACCAGGGCCTTGCGCGGATCCCTTGGGTGCGGGGAGCAGAACTGACGACCCCTGTCTTTTGGGGCTAACTGGACTCCTGATTTCTCATCTTAGTGGAGAGTTTCTCCATCCATTTAAAGCCCTCTCGCGCCTCTTTAAGAGTCTTGGCTCCCCTCTCAAAAAACCCTGAGAGCTGTAGTTCGTTGAAGATTTAACAACGCACCCTTCATAAACCAGAGTTCCCAGGGGGTAGGGAGGCAAGACTCTTAAAGTGTCCTACAAGCCTGGGCGTATGTTGCGGGGTCAGGCTTTATGCTGGGGGTGGTCACAAGCTCAGTTAAGTTTTTTAAAATTGATTTACCTGATTTAGGGGGCCAGCTGCCCCCTGCTCGCCCATGCTCACCAGTGTTTTACATGGATGGTGCCAGGTGCGATAGCGTGAACATCTGGGGCCCTTGAGCCTTTTGGTACCTCTGCGAAAGTCACCCAGCAATGAAAGGGTGGTGGTCCTCTGGTGGCTCACTTGGGCCAAGGCTTAGAGTCACAAGGGAACGCGGGTCTGCGGATGGGGCTTAAGGACAGGGACTGCATTAGATGACCCCTGCGACCCCTTCCACTTCTACAATTCTATCAGTCTATGATCTGCGCCGGGTATCGGCCAATGAGCTCTACAAGCCAGATTCCTGCAGAAGAACTTCAAACCCACTTCCTTCCAAGGGCGCGCGCCCGGATGTGTCAGGATGAGTCCCTCCGACTCCTCGCTTTCTCCTCGCAGGCGATCAGAAGCCAGACTGAATGCGAAGGTTGGGGGTTTTCCCCCCGTTCTCCGTGACGTTTCTCACTTTTGAAACTGAAACAAGTTTCCAATTAAAACAAGAACAAAAAACCGATCTGCCCAACGCGGAATAAAACAGCCCCTTAACAACAAAGGGTGGGTTTTTTTTGGGGGGGGGGGGGCGTTCTGCCCCTCTTTGGATCTTCTTCTGCAGTCCCTGAACTGGTCTTCAAAGCAGGTACTGTCAGTCACGCCTCAGCCCAGTCAGCTCTGTGAGGCATAGGAGCCAAGGTCATTTCGGCGCCCCCAATAAAACATTTGAGGGGGCAGGCCCCCAAAGTTGATGGGCATTGCCTTGCCATTCAAATGGTGTGGGTGTGTGCCACGCCAACTGATCAGTTATGTGGGGTGGGGCTTACCTGGGCCCCCCAATATTTTATTCAAGTTGGCACGCCTGCTGTGAGGGGAACAGGGGTCTCTCAGCAACTCTCAGCACCCTTAGCAAACTACAGTTCCCACGATCCTTTAGAGGAAGCCATGACTGTTCAATGTGGTATCAGAGCGCTTTAAATGAATAGTGCGGATGCTGCCTGCGGCTGCTTCTCTGACCCGCCCCTCTGCCATCCCTGACTGAAGTGGCTTGGGGACACCCTGGCTTCCCCAGACCCTCGCATCGCTCCCACCTGGGCTGAGGCTCCGTGCCTGCGCCCCCAAGAGAGAGGGGGGGCGGAGCGCGCTTCTGGGTCTGACATGTTTATGGCTCCTTTTCCTCCCTCCCTTGGCAGCGAGTTTCTAATTAGATTCCCAAATTCCTTCTGGGCTGCTGGAGGAGTGAGTCCCCTTCTTCCCTCCTGGAGCCTCTGCCCAGAAAGCCCCCTCGTCGGATTTCCGCTGGGCTGCCTCTAAGACCAAGGTGCTAATTCCTCTTTAATTATCCCAGGGAAACCCTCCGTAATTGCTTCTCTTCCCCCCGCCCCGCCAGCCTCGCCTTGGACCCTCTTCTCCCGCCTCTGCTTATCAGCAAAAGGGGGAAGAAGGATTCAGGCAAAGCCTCTTTCCCCGGTGACCAAAGGGAGTTATCAGTTCCTGCTGGTGCACAGTTGATGGGATGAAGCTCAAGGGGGGAGCGGGTGGCTGGACTTGACGGCCAGCCAGCCAGGGAGGACCTGTTGCCTCTCCTCGACGCCTCTGCAGGGCTTGGGGTGGAGAGGCTCTGGATGCTCCCATCCTCCTTGGAGGTCGTCCTGCCTCCTTGGCCCTGCCCTCCCGTCCAATAAGGAGAGGTTGCCTTGACACCTGCTTATATACCGAAGACGGCAGCAGCCTCCAAATCTCCAGCGCTGGGTTGGGGGAAGAGGGGAGAAAATACACACATAAACACACACCCACACACTCCCCTCTCTCCATACCTATTTCAAGCCACAGACTTAGGGAGACAGTCGCCCCGTCGGGCAAGGAGGAGAAGGCTCCCGAGACGATGACCTCCAGCAAAATTGAGATGCCAGGTGGGCTGAAGGCGGACCCGGCGGCTCTGATGGCTTCTCTGCATTTGCTCCCGTCTCCCACCCTCAACCTGGAGATCAAGTACACCAAGGTAAGTCACCTGTCTGCTCTTCCCTGCCAGAGGAGCACGGGCTTCTCTTTTTCTGAGCTGGCACAAAACCGCTTCCACCGCTCGGACTTCTCTTCAAAAACACACAAACACAAAAGCCAGAAAGAGGTGCGTTTTCAGGTGCTGGATGCCAGTAGATGGGTGGCTATATGTGAAAGGAAGTCCAAAAAATCTCTTGCCCTTTCCAGTTTGCCTGGCATCATTTTAACTCTTTGGACCAGTTTCTCTTTCTTTCTGGGAAAAGGGTTTCTCCGCACAGACTTGGGCTCCTGAAGATTGTTGGAGGGCGCGATTGTACAAATCTTGTTTTAGAAAGATGATGAGAATCATGTTCTGTTTTGCTGTTCTAAAAACTGGTGTCTTTCGCTCCTGGGACTCTTCCTTAACAATTCCTGCCGCAGATGTCACCGAGCCAAGTTGTTGTAACTTTGGAAGGAGGGAATCGTTTGCTGATTTCCTTCCTAGACAAATAACCTACTCGAATACAGGCAACTTGGCAAGAAAATTATTTGCTTATCCACATCACCAGGTGCCCAGGGTTGATGGCTTATTCTGCGGGCTAAGGTGTGCAGAGCTTTCCTATATTTACAGTTGATACAGATCTGCAAGGTTTTTAGCGTATGTGTGTTCGAAGACAGTTATTCCAAAACGCAATTTCGACAGGAAGTGTGATGCCTTTGGTCCGTCTTCTGGTTATGAATGTCTGTTTGTATTATTAAGCACACTGGACATGATCCCGTGGGATGCAAGACCATTTGCACAAGCCCCCTGAGGTTAAAGGGGAATTGCGCGAGAGCGTGCAACTCAGTGAGCAGTCATTGCAGGAGAATTTGGGCATGGATCAGGTCCCAAGCGCGGACATTCTTCATCCTTTGAAAGGGACATTAGACGCTTCAGGCTTGTAAAAAGGCGGCACTTCTATTTAAAGCCAATATAGACCTGAAGGTCACGCAATGACGATTAACAAGAAACCTCATTGATGCAAACATACATGATAAATGTTTGTTAAAGATGCATTCTGTTCCCAGAATGTTTCATCACGAATGTGTTCTATTCCCAAATTTCATCATGAATTTGCTGTTGCTCCCTGTTTTTTCTTAAATCCGAAATACAATAGCCACATGAGGACTTGCTGATCATTCGAATAAACCAACTATTTTCAAATTAAAATAAAAATAAATAAATGTGAGTCTCGAATGCCTTGTGCCGGTTCACTTACCTGGCACTTAACTGCTCTTAACAATGTAAGGATTATTTATCTATAGTGCTAGGATTACTGGGTGTGCGATCCAGTCAAATTAAGCACTTTCAAGCCTCATTGATTTCAGTGGGAGATAACGAAGCCCGTCGCTGACTCTTCCCGTTGAAATCAAAGGAATGTGCAGAAGCGTAGCTGGTTCGTAATCACAATACTCGTGGTTTTATGCGCAGAGGCATGGAACTTACTTATGAGTAAAAAAAAAGTACTGTGTAAAATTGTGCTGTAACAATCTATAGCTAAGCATCTTTACATCCATTGTGATGGCTCGGCATCTTGCTTAGTTCTCTCCAGCTGAAATCAGTGAGATCTAATAGCGCTTAACTTGGGCTGGATCCTACCACAGTCTTGATATTATTTATAAAAAGAGAAAGAAAAGTGATCTAGATTAAATATGGATATGTAGAAATATGGGGGGGGGGAATAATCTGTCTCACGGCAGCTTGTTTCAGTAGCATACAATTAGTCCCAAAATATTTTTGGGTCACACCGTCGCCTCCGCGAGAAGATATGCACCGAACGCGGGAGAGACCAGAGCAGATTCTTGAGGACCAGAAACTTGCGCCCCACGTAGAAGCGGGGGCGGCGACGGGCTGGGATTAAGGAGTCACAAGGATGGGACAGGAACCTCCCTCACACGTCCCAAAATGAATGTTGATCTGAAATATTGAGTGGCTGTGGCACTCGTAAAATTACTTTACCTGCGTGGAACTGTGTTACTCTGCAAAAATCCATGCGCAATGATGGTGTATATCAGTAGTAAGTCCTTGTCGTTTTTTATCCCATATTTCTATAAAAATTACAGTGCATCGAGAAATGGGAATTAAAAGCTTGCCTTTGCAAGAGAAAACATGGTGTGTGTGTGTGTGTGAGAGAGAGAGGGAGGGGGGTCTTAGTTTCGTACACCCGTCCCTGTTTTTCTCGCTCCGTTTTTCTCCGGTCTCTCTCCCCCACTGCCGCCCTCTCTCTCGGCAGGCCAGGCAAGTGATTTATTGCTAATTGAAGCCTTTAATTGGGTGTCGTGGCTCTGGCCAGACTTTTATCCAGGATCCACTTTCCCACTTATTGCAAAGAAAAACAAGGAGATAGAAAATGACGGCCCTGCGCTGGATTCTCTCAGCCGGTGGGGTCACTTTTATGTCTCTCTCAAGTGACAACTCCTGTAAACAAAAGGGAACAAATCGCCTCCAGAAGGGGAAGGGGAGCGGGGGGGGGGATCACTTGTAACCTCGAGCATCTCAAAAGTTATAGCAGCGCCCATTCTTCTATAGCTGCTCCGCCTCCCTTTCCTTCTGGGCTGTTCCTTGAGCGCCCAGCGGGATTTCCTTCTCTTGCCTGGAATTCGGCGCAACCGTTCCAGTTTGTGGATGCTGCGCGGCTCTTGCAATCCTGAGTCTCGGTGGAAAGGCCTCCGCAGTTGTGTCTGTGACTTGCATGCAGAGGCGGGACGAGGGGGAACACTTTAGGCGTGAAATTTCGAGCCTCGTTTAAGACTTGCAGAGACCTGTCCCCCTGGGGCGCACAATCCGCCGGGAAGTTCTCCTGCGCGCAACCCTGAAAATGAGTGAGAGTTGCGCAAGAGTGGTGCTGTGCTCCCGCGCACCTCTGTCATTTCAGGGGGGCTTGCCCGGGAGAAAGGGGTTGGCGGAAAGCATTCTGGTTTCATTAGTGGGGGGGGGCTGGTTGTTTGTTTGTTTTGCACCTGGGGCACCCAGATGCATTATAGACTGACCCCATCACTGAATGGGGTGATGTTGCTCAATGGAAGCCCTTAAACGCATTAAACTATTGCAAGCATGCTCAGATGAGCGCTGAGTGCAGGGTGAGGGCCAAAGGTGGATCAACAACCACAGAAGGAGCATGATGTGTCCTTCACCAGAGACACTCCTTCTCCCAGAGTAGTAAGACTTCTACACCCTACCAGACATAGGTAAAGGTAAAGGGACCCCTGACCATTAGGTCCAGTCGTGGCCGACTCTGGGTGCGGTGCTCATCTCGCTTTATTGGCCGAGGGAGCCGGTGTACAGCTTCTGGGTCATGTGACCAGCATGACTAAGTCGCTTCTGGAGAGCCAGAGCAGCGCACGGAACGCCCTTTAACTTACCTTCCGCCGGAGCGGTACCTATTTATCTACTTGCACCTTGACGTGCTTTCAAACTGCTAGGTTGGCAGGAGCAGGGACCGAGCAACGGGAGCTCACCCCGTCGCGGGGATTCAAACCTTCTGATCAGCAAGTCCAAGGCTCTGTGGTTTAACCCACAGCGCCACCCGCGTCCAGACATAAGACTTCTTTAAAAACAGAGCCTGATTGGTATCAGAAAATAAGAGTTGAAGGTTAGAATCAGATGATGGCTGAGTGTGTTAAGGAAGCTCTTGACTTCTGAGGGTGACTGGCAAAGAAGCAATTCCAGTCAGGTGGGTACTGGCCAAGGACAGAGTAAAATTGCTAGGGTTGTCCCCCACTAGCCGCGCTGGAATAGCCTCCACCAGGAACAGAGCTCCTCAATGTTTCTCAAATCTGGGTGTCGAGCTGTACCTGGACTACAACTTCCATCAACCCAAGCTAGCAGGAACAGTGGTCAGGGATGATGGGAGTTGTAGTCCAACAACAACTGTCAATGACCCTCCAGATGTTGCTGGACTACAGTCCCACCACCATCCCTGGTCATTGGCCTGGCTGATGGGAGTTGGAGTCCAGTCACATCTGGAGGGCCACAGGTTCTCCATCTGTGCAGCAGCCACCTGTGCTAGCAACCTTCGCTGCTTCTTGTGACAGCAAGTTTCATGTGGTAATTCTGCATTGTGTGTGATGAAGAGGCACTCCTTCTTTCATCCGTTAAAAATACAGGGAAGGCTGGTGCATCTGGCCATCAGAGGAGATGCACGAATTCGCCTCCAGATGCTCAGGAACTGAATGTGGAGGCAGCTTGCCTTTGTGTGTTTCCTTGTAGCATCCGAAGCCACCCTGCGGAGTCTGAGAGGGGGTGCGGGGTGTAGGGAAAGGTTCAGGAAATATTTTGCTAGATCTACAAGCTGTTTACATTGCTGAGAGGTCTGCATTAAATAAATCCAGCATGTTAAATTGTGCAGTGAAAGACAGCAATATTCACTGAGTGACTCATAAATCTTTCAAACATCAGGAGGTGGACCAGTTTGTTGGGAGAATTGTTGGCTGATGCTGGAGACTCGGAAGCACCAGGATGTATTGCAAAGGCTGCTTGCTTGTATATCACAGCTGCACATTCTTCCTCTTGTGTGTAGCTTGAACCATTATCCTTTAGGGGAAATACCATAATGAAAAATGAAATTTACCTGGACAAGGGCAGTTTAACAGAAGCTCAATCCAAGTAATGCAGAAATGTTGACAGTGAGCAGTTTGATTGCCTACTCCAGAGGGGCTTGTGTGCACCACTCTATTCCATGGGTTGGCAAACTAAGGTCCGTGGGCCGGATCAGGCCCAATTGCCTTCTGGATCCGGCCCACGGACCGTCTGGGAATCGCTGCGTGGATCGCCAGCGCGCGTGTTCTTTCACTCTCCCTCCCTCTCCCTTACACGGTGGTGCCAGTGCCTCCTCCCTCCCTCCTCCTGGCTTCTCCTTGCCCTGCCTAGAGGAGGAAGGGGGCTGGGCTTTGTTGGTGCCAACAGCAGCAGTGCTCAAGCGACTGCCATTTTAAGCAGCCCCTCTCCGGAGCCCTTCCACGTGCTGCTCATTGTCCCTCCAC